GATTTAAATCTTACTTAACAACTTTTATATTTATTTTTTTTATATACTATAGAGAACAATTTTTTTCGCTCCTGATATTTCCTCATAATAAATAATACACCTTTCGATTTCACTTAGGTAGTCTACATATCTAATATAATACTATATAATACAATAATCTGTACATTTCGGAATTTTTTCATTTTGACCAAAAAGAATTGTCAAAACTTAAAAAACCTTTTTTTTTACTTACACATTTTTGCATGATAATACGGAATTATATAAAATTATTTTTAGTTTAGAAAACGAAAGAAAGATATTAATAAATATAGAAATATAACGTGACATTTAGCGTTAGGTCAATAACTTAATCGATATTGCATTTTATTTTCGATTAATCAGGTTATTTGTTTCCTACTTCCGGAACAAGTTTTGCGCGGAAATGGGAAGTTAATCGATTAGTACTTGGCTCGATCTAACGACAACTTTCTATGAAGTCGATATTTTATAGAACGCAATATATATACACGTGACTATAATAACAGAGATGTTTACGCAAAAGGGGCAAGGCTGTTGCTATGATATATCTATATATGAAAATTAAAGATATGAAATGGACGGAATGAAAGTAAAGCATGATAAGCAAAACGCAAGATAGACATAAATATTAATGGAACGTATATTAGAATAGAACATATGGTATGTAGAACATAAAATAAGACTAAAAAGTGCAAAACATAGCAAACAGAACGTGAAATAGACAGAGGTATAGAAGAAAATATGAACACAGACAAAGGCTAGACATACCATATCGCGGTATATAATTATTGAGATTTATCGAGTGATTATCTTAAATACCAATAAGCAGAGAAAAAGATATTATATCGTGAAATTATCTATTTTTTCAATCAAATTTCCTAATGTAATGTAATGTAATAGTGAATTATCGATTATTTCCTAAATTGTTACTGTTGCCTGCAGCTTATAAACATTATCGATCGGATACATGCACTTTCCGTCTCCGGGTACGATTATGGCAATGGGTGCTCGCCCGCGCAACAATGTCCGGAGCGATTATTGCCATAATTGCTCCGGACAAACGGGCGAGCGTAATTTTCAACGTTCGCGCATGCTCCAATGCCGTAATCATAATTGTTGCTGGGTACTTTTTGCCGTCGCTCCGAAAATACTAAAGTGCAATTGTGATGCCGTAATTACCGTGTAGGTAACAAGTCGGTCGAGGTCGGGCGTGATAGGATTTTCCGGTGTTTCCACGTAAATTGTATATTTCGTGGTGAATTTCAATGTGGCTTCATTGGCCTCTCGCTTACCTTTGTCCGAGAAAACATTGATCGTGGCTCCTTACAACGTAACGTGTTTTACGACAATAAACTTTCTAAGTAGAAAGTGTGTATGTGTTTACTACAAACTATATCATGAATTAAATTATAAAATATAATTATACTTCAACATAATTTTATTTGTATTATATAATTGTATAATTTTAATGCGATTTTTATTTATCTAATTATTTGACTTTTTTTAAATAATATAACATATTTACTTTAATACTTATAATAAATTAAAACTTTAATACTAAAATATCCATAAAATATATTCCTTTATACATAACATATTAAACGCATTAATAATCGTTATGTAATTTAATATGCTAATGACTATTATATCACATTATTCTGCAATGTTAATCTACGGAGATGATCACGGATAAACGGTTTACGTGGCTGCGTTGATCGTTGTCATTGATTCCGTTCATTCATACTTTTACTATTCCCACTTCCTCTCGTAAACAATAAATACAATCGGTTGTCGTAAACTTCCTTTGGCCGATATCGCTGCGTTTAAAGCACCGTGAAGTTGCACACCTATTTCGCTTTTTGCATTGCGGAGATTGGCAGTGTTTACTCTTGATATACGGCCGAATTTAATAAAATATTGCGCTGACACAATGCGAACGAACGGGTGACTATTTACGACATGTGCTACTTTTCGTAATGCGACGTAGACAAACTAAACTTTACGAAGTGGCAAGCATGAAATTTAAGTGGGACGTGTCTTCCACGCTTGCAACAACACAACATTTGCACCCAGCCATTGAGACAAACACACACCGTACAACTCATAGCATACGGTACTTAACTGCGGTTACTACTGGCATTAATTGTTTTTAGCATTGAATTTATGACTAGGCTATAAAAGAGTTGATGAATCGATGAACTTGACGAACAGTGCCGCTATTTCTCCACGATTTTTCCTGCATTATATGAGTTCGCGTAGAGAAAGCTTAAAAATCATTTAAATGCCCTCTTCTTTAGACGAACGTAAAAAAAAAAAAAACGGTATGATTACCGACCCGTTGAGAGACAGTCGAAGGAAAGTCTGTTACAATGACCTATTTCCTATAAAAGACAAACGCCGGAAATGATACGTAGATATATGAAAATAATGCCATTATGTAGGAACAATTTGTTATTCGGGTCTTAATATCCGTCGGGTGCTAATCAAAGCAAATTTTCATTCTTACCGCGTGTTGAAATAACACGTAACACCTTTATTCCGGTACAGTTGCGAAAATCTTTTATCATTACAAAAAAAAATTCAACACTGCGATTTTACGCAATTGCACCTCGTGATCTTTCGACGTTGCAACTTTTCTTTCTTTTTTTTTTTATTCATTGATGTATTATTGTTGTACTTTGGATTTCTTTTACGTAATTTAGAGTGAAGTAAAAGGTTTCGTTTCGAATATGACTGTCATTATTATTAATCGTCCATCATTATAGATACATTTAACCATTTCCTGCAACTGTTGCGTTTCTCTTAAGTGGAAAATTATCGCCGAGATGCCTACAATTCGCGCTACTCTTTTGGTCCGAATATAAAAGATAAACATCTCATCTTTTGTGAGGCCGTTTCGGCATCGACTGACCTCATTACCTACATTTCATCGAGGAACCGAACGAGAATGTAACAATGAGGGGGAAGTAGGGAGTCAAAGCGGGATGAACGGCCTTACGAAAAAGTATTTAAATCGGTTACACAAATAACGGCACCGACTTTCCGTAGGTGTGAACCGAAGTAGGAGAATAAGAAACGTAAAAATAGCTGGCTTTTTTAATCTTAAAGATCGAACTCCTCGATTGCATTACGATGAAATTTGTATCAGATTTTGTAAACTTATTAAATACGAGATTCTGTATAAAAAAATAAAACTGAAATTAACAAAGAAAAACGAGATCTAATATATAAAAAATATATTTGTTATTAAAAATTAATACACTAAGAAAAAAGTTATTAAATTTCAATAATAATTTCTTTGAATAGAATCATTTGACTGAACTATCATTTTTTTCATTTATCTAAATACAATATTTTATTTTTTTTTTAATTAAAAATAATAAAATTTAATATATTTTCTTTCTCAGTATACATAAATTTAATTTTTTCTTTTTTATATATAATTCATGCATAATAATATATATAATTATTAATAATTATTTGTCCCTTTTCGATATGAAGTTATTGCTTTTTTTCTTTTTTTTCAACAATATAGGGCTTTCACGAAAAGTATGTAGGTCCTTTCTTCGGAAAGGGGGATCATTAAAGAGAGAGAAATATGCGAGAAAAAGAGAAGCGCAAAGAACAAAAAGCTGTAAAGTATCGGCTCTCTTTCTCCTGGTAGCTGCCCAGCGGCCCATCGTAAGCAGTAGTTTGCTTGTCACGATGAACCCCAATGTCTCCGATTATTCGTTTAACGGGACTCGCACGTCCACGATGGTCGGAGAATGATTTCTCCAGAAGGCAATGGGTTGAAGATTCGGTTCGTGCGCTCAGTCTTCTTCTAGGCGAGTGCGCGTGTGGACTGCTCTGATTCCGAGCATAACGATAAGAAGATAATCATCAAGTTTTCTTAATAATTCGTTAACACCTTTGAACAAGCCGTGTAAAAAAGGAATTGTGATTTTTTAAAACGACAAATTCTTTCAATTTTGAAGAGAATATGGACCGATTGCCTCTGATAATATACATAATTTTTCAATTTTATTTGACTGAGTTATCCTCTCGGATGCAATGATGACATAAATTATTATTTGATTGTCAAATGTAATAAATCGTTAATGTCCCGTCAACATTGTCATAACACTGTTTAACACTTAATTTAGTATAAGTACTTGAAATTTCGCGCACTTCTTAGAGAAACTCGTTTTCGCATATAACTGCGAAGGACAAGCTGAAACTTTTGTCATCTCGCGTTGCACGTTTTCGTGGATTTGCGAGAGGTTTTCTTGTCGGTGACGCAAGGACCCAGTCTCTTAGAGCGTTCAAATATAATAAAATATGTACCATAGCCACGTGATGTTCAAATCGACAGTGAACGTTGACGCGAGTAACTCCCTTGGTCTTATCTCCAGTCTTTAGTTTTATCTTGACAAACCTTCAAGTTCCTCTCTTGTGAAATTCAAAGTGAAAACTTCTTTGAATTGAATTCGAAGCAAAATTTATGCTTATTTATTGAAATCTAAATCTTCGAATATTCAGAATAGAATAATTGAAAGATAGATGCAAGAATAATGCTGAATGAAATTTGCGAGAAAAATAAGGAATTGTGAAAAGTCAGAAAAAATTGTCACCAAGGAAAAAACAAATTTCGAAGTATGGGACGATATAAGACGGGGAACGATTTTTGAAATTTAAATATTTATTATTTATACGTCAGACGAACCTTAATGTGTATAGGTGTATAGGTGTCGCACCAGTAATTCGCTTACACCTTAAACCAGTCGACTTTGAAATATCTGTCTGTACACATCGCACGGCACGTCCGTGCTGTTTACGCACGCGCTAACTCATTAAGCCGTCCAAAACGGGTTCCGTTTTATCGAACGTAAGTCGATGAGCGAGTATTTTGAAACTTGAACCATTTCCATGGATTTATAATTGCGATGATTTTGATAAAACCTGAACATATCGAGTGAAAATTCCTTTTTTCTTCTCAAAAGGTATTCCTGGAGCATCGAGGCAAGGATGAGGTAGGACAACTAGTCGGTGCCAAGACCCATGGCGCAACACCCTTAGTCATGGCATGTCGGAACGGACATTACGATGTGGCGGAATATCTCATTGAAAAATGTGGGGCAGACGTGGAGCAGCCTGGATCAGGTCAGACTGTAATTCTTTTACGGCTTCTGTTCGGGCTAATGATCCATTTATTATTGAAAATAGTTTTCCCATTTAAAAAATGACGCTTGACAAAGACGTATTTTAGTGCTTTTTTTTCTTTTAAATTGAATTCTCGGTGCAGGTAGCTTAAAAGTCATGGCCGCTATAATAAACGTCTCGTACGTCATAGGCTGGTACAATGTATTGTACTTGATGTGATTTTATTTATGATTATTACGTCTACGTCATTACTGTTTTTGTACATTGAAACCAGTATATACATATATAGATCCTCCACTGTGGTATTATAATTTTACTAAAATATTTTTTTGAAAACAGTGGTCTTTGAGGGTGAAACAATCGAGGGTGCACCACCCCTCTGGTGCGCGGCGGCCGCTGGCCACTTGTCCTTAGTAAAACTGCTTGTGAGACGAGGAGCCAAGGTGAATTCAATCACGAAGACGAATTCTACGCCTCTTCGTGCTGCATGTTTCGACGGACATTACGATATCGTCAAATTCTTAGTGCAACATGGTGCAGGTGAGGAAAGATACAAATATAAATTTGAAAATTATTTTCAGAGATATAAATTGATAAAATTCTTTTTCAAATTTTGTATAATTTTGTTATTTTTCTTTGCGGAAGTGCGAAGTAATGCAAGTAAAATAAGCTTTGCAACTTAAAAATTTAATTTAAACTTATTTATTAATTTAATTTAAACTTATATAGTTTTGTAAAAATTATATTTATTAATCAAGGGATTGATTTTTCTATTAAAAAAATAGGATTGGGAAAGTGACTTTGTAAAACTAGTTATAGTTACAGGTTTTCCTCTTAAAAAATGAGTAATTACGAGTTACCGTTATAAGATACCGATTCTGAACAGTAACACGTTACAGTTACATTTGCTCAAAGAATAACGAGTCGTTTTCATTTACTTACAAGTACTTTCCAGTTATTTTTCTGTTAATTTTTTGTAATTTTTTGCGTCGCTATTTTAAATACAAAAATCTTATATATTTCTAATATTACTAAATTATTTTACTTATTGTAAATATTGATTATATTATACATTATATCTATGTATAGTAGATGTAAGATGATATATATACTTGAAATCATGTAAATTGTAGAAGCAATATTAAGTCGCGTTCACAAAAATCGGCACTCAAAGTCCCCTATCTTAATTCTTAATGCAGATATTTACAGAGTGTAATTATTTTATCAGAGATATGTTCAATCTAAGAAATAATTACTAATTGTTCACTGAGCACTTCATTTTAATTAGCCCGTTATATTGACAAATAAGTCTAAAATATATAAAATAATTATAAAGGTCACTATATTATATTAGTTACAAGTTACAAAAAAAATGTAAATTAAGTTCCACTTGCAAAAAAGTAATTCTAATAATGAGCTATCTACAATAAGCCGTTATCGAAGTTGTAAATCGTACATCATAAGAAACTGATTAATGAGCTTTCTACAATAAATCATTAGTCACCACTCATGTCATATTAGTGGTAAGTCAGAATTATAAATCATAAATCTTAGAAAACTTATACCCAAAATAGATCGTATTAGACCAACAATTACAATTTGTATTAGATCTACGAGAATCAATTAATTAAGAGAAATGAACCTACTTTTAATAAAAGCAGATGTTAGTATTTAAATATTTCAGAATAGATTTATATAGGTACATTTACATACACATATCCAATTCTATAAATCCGCACCGAAATCTTTTTCGGTCTTCACATTTCGAAACACATTCATGAACAGAACTAAAGCAGAACTAATATCACATAAAATTATTAAATTGATAAGCAATATAATAATGTTTGATGCTAATAAACATCTTAGAAGGATATGAATAATTTGATGTTTATCTAGCATTTTAAAATTGTAAATAATTTAATTTATATTATATAAATTCATTACGAAATATCTAAGCACTAAGATCCGCTTTGATTAAAAATATATATGTTTCTCTTAATTGATTCTATTTAATTGGTATTAGATTATTACGTTACAATATTTCAAAGATGGTTGTTTTCAAAGCAAATAATAATAGATATATTATCACTAATTACTGACTTATTATTACCTTATGATACACTACTAATTGGCTTACAATTTGCTCCCTACTTTTAATTTATTACTAACGGCTTATTGTAGAATGTGTGTAACTGTAACTTCGTTACGAATCACGAGTTACTTCCCAATCCTGAGAAAAAGTTACTTTATAATATTTAAAAATTCCATCAAAACTCTTACTAACCTTTGTCTTCTCCGTTACAGATATAGAGATGGCGAATCGACACGGGCACACGTGCCTAATGATCGCCTGCTACCGGGGTCACGTTAAAATAGCGAAGTTCCTACTCGCCCTGAAAGCAGATGCGAATCGCAAGTCCGTGAAGGGTAATACAGCACTACACGACTGCGCCGAAAGTGGATCCTTGGAGATACTGAAGATACTTGTCGAGCACGGGGCCCAGATGGACGTAGACTCTTACGGGATGACGCCACTTCTCGCGGCAGCAGTAACAGGTTAAAGCAGAAAGTTCCACGCACCACTCGAAGGTTCCCCTAAGACAGTTTATTTAGCTTCGAGGAAAAATGCGAGCGCTGACCGAACGTTTCTTCGTTTCCTCTTTTCCAGGTCACACGCATATCGTCGAATATCTCATAGGCATTCCCCAGCTGTTCAGCAGGAAAGAACGTATCGACGCGTTGGAGTTGCTTGGAGCCACATACGTGGATAAAAAGAGAGATATGATTGGCGCCCTGCAGTTCTGGAAAAGTGCCATGAACGAGCGGTATGTTTTCACACGTGAACAGATTATTAATCCGTTTTTTTCTTTTTTTTTTTTTTTTTTTTTTTTTTTTTTTTTTTTTTTTTTTTTTTTTTTTTTTTTTTTAGAACACTTTTTATATAATTTTATATGATCGGAACACGAAACAAAGAATGACCCCAAAAACCACTTTTTCCGATTAATCTCAAAAAAATTTTAAGATAAACATAAAAGTAATTTTAAGGAATCAAATAATGCTGAACATACAAAATTTTTCTGTTCTAATTAATATTTCGTTTATGGCGTCGAGTGGCTCACCATTTGGTGCGATTGACTCGCGATCTGAAGACCCGAGTTCAATTCCACGTGCGCCCAAACGCAATTTTTCGCGTTTAATGAGCCAAAAAATGGCTCCACCTGGTGATCAAAAGATCTATGATCATCAGCGCCGTTCGGATTCGGCGTTAAACTGTAGATCCTATACATCAGTAGATACATATCAGTAGATATTTGTCTCTAATATCTGACTGAGGTAGGATTCTGTGGATCAATCACTCACAAATCCGAAAAACAATCTGATTCGAGAAACGATTATAGGCCTCGGACAAAAGAGGAAGAGACCTATAAGACGTCCTATGGTCCTCATAAGGAGATAAAAGGAATCATTATTATAATTAATATCGTTTGGCATACAATGCAATTCAAATTTTTAAGACCACAAAATGAGCGAAATTTGAGAGTCGTTCTTTAATATCATAAATATGAAACATTTTATTTTATGAATTAAAAAAAATATATATAATTCTAATTTTTATTTTTAAAAATGAAAGTTTACGCTGTGTTGAATAATATATATTTCTTCCCGTAGATATCGGGGAGATGGACCAGTGATAGCAAAACCTGAATCTCCGCCGCTTGTAGCCGCTTACGATTACGCCCGAGAGGTAATTGAACCCGAAGCTTTGGACGATTTGTTAGCAGACCCAGATGAAATGCGCATGCAGGCACTGGTGATTAGAGAACGAATATTAGGACCGGCTCATCCAGACACTAGTTATTATATTAGATATCGTGGAGCTGTTTATGCGGACGCGGGTAAATTCCGTCGCTGCATCGAATTGTGGAACTACGCTCTCGACATGCAGCAAAGCATGCTGGAACCACTAAATCCTATGACACAAAGCTCTCTATTCAGTTTTACCGAACTCTTCAGCTTTATGGTGGGTGAGGAAGGTAGACAGACGACAAGGGGTCGTAGAGTACCACCAGTAAAAAGGGAAGATCTGATGAGAGTTTTTGAAAAAGCCGTAAGTACGAAAAAATACCATTGTTGCCTCAATCAATTGGTCTGTTTCCTGTTCCTGCACTAGACTGAACTAGAACTTTCTTTCTCGCTTTCTATAAATATCAAACATATACCCACATATACCTATCTCACTTTAAGTTCTAAAAATGTACACTAGTTCAGCTACAGAAAACAGACCTAATATATATCATCATTCATTTGTTTACATTGCAAAAATGGTTTCTAGATTAACGAAGTAGCGAAAGGAAAGCAAATGCTGGACAAAATGGGCGATCTAACATGCGAACGTGATTTTACATTCTTGAACAGAGTTCTTGTTATTACTCTGCATTTGGCGTGTCTATTAACGCGCGAGACTGGAGAAAAGGATAGCGAAGAATACAATGTCTTCCACAAAGAGCTTTACAAGTTAATCCGAATAAATGCCAAAGGCAAACACGTGAGTGGCACTTAAAATAATTGTTAATAATAAAAATGAGACTAAAAATAAATATCTATGTTTTCGGTCCTATAATGTATTTTTCAGGGCCGCGACGCGCTGCATTTAGTTCATAGCGAGGACGGTGCGCTGGTTGGCAGGTATCCCACGTGCAAGTTTCCATCTCCTCATTTGACTAAAGCTCTGCTGAAAGTAGGTGCAAATGTGGCTGCCAGGGATAACGACGGCAACACGGCTTTGCATCTTACCGCGCTATTGCAGCCTTGGCGACCGATTCTGTCGATCGACCTGCTCAACGCCGGCGCGCATCTCGACGCGATAAACAACGACGGCAAGACGTTCCAGATGCTATTGCCTAATAAAGAGCTTTACGATTCGATTTGTCCTCTAAAATACACCACACTCGCCTGTTTGGCCGCGCGAGTGGTTAAAAAGACGCAGAACATCAGCAGAGTGCCCGCACACCTTCGCACTTTCGTTGAGATGCACTAGTAATGCTGTAATGAGACACCACCAGTGAAATGCCATGGTAAACACTTTAATCGAAAAAATGTGACGAAATTGGAAAACAATGGTGATAATTTGGGCGTTATATAACTTGAATTCATAATTCATTCATTCTAGCATTTCGATATTCACTTTATTATACAGAATTTCAAAATCGTTCTTATTTCTGAATTTTTTTTTAATGAGGACGATTTTGAGATATCTTGTATATAATCCAAACTAGAACAGAGATAAAAAGATTGTCCCCGAGAAGCACAAGTCTTCTGACTGATGATATAATACGAAGCACACGTGATCCCAAGAAGATCTTTTGATAGCTTCTCTCGTAATATACATAAAACATGTTTCGCAATAAGATTTTCGCAAACAAAGAATACCTTTTTTCATTTAGTTTTTCATTCAACTTTCTTTTTATGCTTCGTAATTAATTTACTAACAGAAAACTCCAAATATATGCGTCTTTTAAAGCGGCAATTGTAGATTTCGCAATTAAAAATGTTATATTCAATAAAGTGCAATAATATAACTTTATTTATGTATATACATATATATTTTTTAATACGATTATGGTAATTGATAAAATATCTATTTTCATAAAAAGAATTTTAAAAAGATTAAAAAATTTAATGAGAACCTGGAACAATTATTATTTCAGTTGATAATTTTTATTATGCCTTAGATATATATTAAATTATTTAATCAACCTTTATTTTAAAATTGATTGGAGATATTAATATTTTCATCAAAGTAAAATTGATTTATCAGCATTTTTAAATCCTTACTTGCCATTATTTTCGTTAGACTGACTATTAAAAAACTATTAATAAATTAGTAATATATTTTAATAGATCTCTTTAGTATCAATGTGTGATGATACGAGAGAGGTTTTTCAATTTTGATGAGTAAGTTAGATGATAACAATATTGGTATTGTAACAAGGTGATAATGCAGATATTGTGATCTTATTATTGCGAACTTGGCTAATTAGGCCTCTCCCTTATACATAAACCCCGCGCAAGCCATATTATATATATATATATATATATATATATATATACATAATAGTTGAATGTTAGATAACATAAATGTACGTTAAATTCAAGTGTGTTATCTTAGAAAAGTGACTTTTTACCTTGCTGTATAAACAAATAAAGAGAATAGATATTTGTAATAAAAGTTTTCTGACACTGTGAACAATGTGAATGATACAATTCTATATTTAGCATACTACAATTTTTTTTTCAACATTTTTTGCATGTATAAAATTATGTTCTCTTAAATATATGAATAAAATGTGAAACATAAAATTGTAGTATGTTGCGTTTGTTTCTTATTTTAACACGTTTCGAATACACCACATAAGTTACTTCAGAATTTGCTAATTATTAATATTCCATCGAGAGTAACAGTGATTGGATGATTCTATATATATATTATTCGCACAAGTTATAAAATTCTGCGCATTCATACCTTTATTTGAAATGTGATAATCCATGTATACAGTCTACAGAGAAAACCACGCGTCACTACATAATTATATATAAATATATACAATACATATAAACGGACGTGTGATGTTTAAGGTGCCTTTTTCTTTTGAGAGCTGTTGAACAGTGCACTCTTTGCGCTAAACGTAAACACGATTGTCGCAGTACTGTTTGTACCATTAAGACTAATTTACACGTACGAATTACGTACCCATATTTACCGTTATTGTGCAATTTTATATACGTTTTATATGTTTTGTTTGAACCGATGATCCCGTTACTGACACATTTACGTGCGTCCGAACTATTAACTGCATCAGTCATGTTATAGGACGTCGCGTTACGCGATTTTCCACAAAGATAATAATCCCTTACACTTATCCCTTGCATACCGAAAACTATTTTATAATGTATAGGTAAATGAAGAAATACAGTTGTAATTGAAAGTATCTGATTTAACGATTCATTCTTTTTTATTTTGCGCGACCAATTCGCAAGATTTAAGTTGTGTTCCGTTACTCACGAGTACTGAAAATTTATAGTTCACGTTAAGTATACTATAGATTTTCTGTACTCACAGTGAATTATGGAACGCAGCCACAAACGTCACACGTAATAGTTTCCCTGGAAGAAAAACATATGCGTAAAGTGATTGTCAGTTATTAAAACTTACCTGTCATTGTCACATTTTGGAACAGAAGTTTTCTCGATCGTGATCTGAAAATAATCAACAATATCCATTGTATCTGTGCCCCAGTGTAATAAAAATATTCTTTATATGATAATTTATACATATACTATATAATTTTATTTTGTCTCGCGAGAAGAGAAAAATGCTTTCCGTTTTCACGTAACAAGAGATATTGAACGGTTTGCACTGTACAAATCGCTTAAATATGTCAATGATAAAAGAGTAAACGCTTCTTGGCCCCTAAAATCGACGGAACTGTTAATGCGAAAAGACACGAGCATCGATTCTCGAGGAATAATATAAATAACAGTAACGACAACTTTTATATCATGTATCAGAATCCTGACGTAATGTCAATAACAAAAAAAAAAAAGGATAATATTACGTCTTCTTCAACTTGTAAGAATTTAATCAAGCATTGAACGAAAGGGAGGATCAATCGCTAAGAATGCGCTAACGTGCGCATGTTTTATATCGCCGATCGCAGGTGAAACGTCGATGAACGCTTACCATTAAAATGTATTGATAAATTTCTAGAAAAAAACCGCAAAGTTCCGTATACGACAAATCGACGGAGATTGTACAAAGTGAGTACTTCGAAATAAATACAAAATTATTGGCGCGCATAGAAGATTTCGCCGTCCTTCATTCACAGTTCTATATACGAAATCGACTACACCATGTTAAAGATGACAAAAACCTCGTGTTAACTATTCCTTTCTCGGTCACATTTCCATAAAAAGTCCATCGATGCGAGTTCAATTTCATCGACAGTAAAAGTATCGCTAAAAATTATTGGAGATGAAGAATACACTTCGTAACAGCACCACGCATAGATAGACATTATGAGCTTTTAAATTCTCGCTATTAATGACAGAAAAAGTAATTATACTAATCTCTCTCTTTCTCGGGGCCAGATATCATCAATCGTCTCTCTTCTCGGAATCGTCTTCGGAAAATCAGGGAAGAAAATCATCTGAAAAAGTATCTCACCTGAGAGCTTGAACGAGCACCTTCCTCCCCATTGCGCAGATACTGACGTCCCAATTGTACGGAAGATAATCTGAGGAGTGATCTGTATTTTAAGACGTATCAATAAACGAATGGACTCGTATTCTGCTTAAATGCAACGTGTTTACAGGACTGTTATGGCTAATCGTACCATTTAAACGCGTTGCATCGCATACTAAAACTCACTTGACAAGATCCATCCGAACCAACAAGAGTGATCGCTTAAAAAAATAATAAAAATTTCACACAACAGCACAGAAATAAAACACAACGACCAGCATAGTTTTTTATAGCCAAAATGAATTTGGATTTTATTCAATCACTGTTATGAGATTGGTGGTTATACAAGAGTGTTATACAATAGAATGTTCCTCGAGATCTACATGGCGAGAGGAGAGTTATGTTTACCAAAAAATATTTCGGTGATATCAAATGCAATTCATCCATCGTACCGGATTCAATGTCTGCGTACATTTCCATGGGAGAAACAGAAAAGATTAAGACGCTATTCAATGTCACGTGAGGCTCGATTTACTTTTTGGTAAACATACTACGGTGCATAAAACGCAGAATTTATGCCGAATCTAGATCGTCCGATGTACGTTCGCCGAAATATTGAAGCAAGTTTGAGTAAACTGAGAGGGGATTTTCCAAAAAAGACTACACAAATTTTTCTCGTACGTTTCATCATCGTAAATCATTCTTACAAAGATGCAAAATAGTGTATATATAGTACGGTAAATTAAAAGAAAATTAATAATAATAAATGATGTGATCGCGTAAAAATTGTGGCGATAAAGCGCTGTCCCCTGTCAAAACATCACACGTGTTTTTCTTACGCATAAGTGCGAACATGTGACAAGAATATCCAGCACGATAATATCCACGATCTGCATAAAGTAAGATTTTAAACGAGTGTATCCCTCGATAATTCGCAAGCCGGAAATCTAATTTCCTCGAATAATTTTACAACGTTAAAAAATGTATTTTCATGAACGAAAGATTAATCTCTATCCCTTAATGGATTCAGCTGCGAATGAGCAGAGCATCACGTTAGATCGGAATGATGGAGAATCCATCGATCTCTCGTCATTAATTCGATAATTAAGAAGTACAGACTTACAAACTACAGAATCGCTAATTACTGTAATTAACCTGTAAATAGTGAATAACCTACACACACTGAAAAGAATCCTACTGACTTACAATAGATCATCATGAAACCTAAGCCTAAAAACAACTAAACTATAGTCACGATCGCTAGAAAAAAAAAAAAAACTGATATAAGAAGTGAACAATTAGTAGACTTCCATTATAAAAAGGAACGATAGTCTAGTGATAAACAATACAGAATTGAAAAGTTGAAAGGGGATAAGAGAAAGAGAGAGGGTGTGGAGAGTGTACGTCAATCAGTGGTTATAACTGTTTCAACGTTGAGTAGCCATCATACAAACACGACTTGCTGATCTTCCAAAGACAGACACTTCTTACTCATTGTCCTAAGTTCTGGCAGATAACTAGGATGAATCAAGTATTGTCATTAGAAGTGGAATCCTGCAGACGACACATAAACACCCAGCTTCCTCACGCTGCGTCAATAAGTTATGATTAAGCATCGAATTATGATAATATAATCTTTTCTATCGACGTTACCTTGAATCCCTCGAGGCTATCCTTTTGTTCTTAGTAGAGGCGCACTTCAATTGTCCTGCCTTCAAAACGCGATCGATTCATCATAGCTAATTGTGATAATTAAGGAAAACTCAATTGTACAACATAATTTTTTACGATAAAATTAACAAATAGATGAATAATTGTAATTTTTTTTCTTTATTACATATCTCGTAGTTACTAATTTAAAGAAAAAAGGAAAAAAATTAATTATTTTTTCTAACAAATGTTGAAATGTTTGTTTCGCTTTCAAAAGGATACTCACAGCACGCTCGGCATCCCATTCAGATGCGAATCGTACCATGCCCACATCGGCACCTCTCATTTCCGCGAATTTTACCTCTCCAGCGTCCTGACATTTATCACGCAGTATCTGCCACGTAGTGTTTGGAGGTAGCTGCAACATAAAAATATTATAATTAAATATTAAACTATCAAATTTCAGTAATAACATTTTGATATTTATATAGTTACTTAAAATTTTATTATTCTGTAACTGAACGTCTTTTAAAAAATTATTATCATGTAATTGTTCTATATTGTATATTATATCATATGGAGTCTTTTAAAAACGGATTAAAGTGAAAAGAACACCATTTAAAAAAAACCTTTTTTTTTTAAATCCCAAGAATAGATTCTTTTTTTGCGGTTCAAATATTTCAGGAAAATAATAATAGAAAATGTAATAATAATAATAATAATAATAATAATAATGGAACAAAAGTACATACGTTGGTTATAACTATAGTATCTGACATCTGTCTTGAACCGTTGGAATTCTGTCGGTTACCGCCACCACTTTGGCCTTGGTTCCCAGAAAACCCACCGCCACCACCAGAGACACGGTCACTGTCCCCTCTGTTAAACCCTCCATCAAAATCTCTACCGCCTCCACCGAAATTTGAACCACCAAAGGCATTGTTACCACCAAATCCAATATCGTTATCTAATTTAGATAGTCCACGTGGTGTGAACGTATTGTTTCCTTGCCCACCAGCTAAAGAAGCCTGAAGACCACTTAAGCTACCGACTCCACCGCCAAAGTTATTCAAGTTCGATGCTAATTCATTTGTCAATGAAGAATTCAGCAATGAACTAGTGGTGAGATTAGCACCTAAACCGGCACCGGCAAGGCTAGCTTGAAGGGCTGCTGCATTTGTATTTGACAATGCCGATGCTAGAACAGATAAGATCTCATTTATTTAACGATTTTAATTGATTTACAAGAAGTTCATGTAACAGGCATACGCTCACCTAATTGCGCAGGAACAACGTTGTTTAAACCGGCGCCAAAAGCGCCCGCAGCTAAGACAGGCGCTGAAATGGGATTTACCACTGGGGGATTGTTTGCCTGCACATTAGGAATATTTCTAGCAACGTCTAACAGTCTGTTACCACCAGCTCCAAGTCCCATGCCGATGCCTTTCAATCCTGATTTACAAAGTAAATTCGATTTATAAAAAGTGTATCAAGCAAGTGTATCATCACGAACTGATAAATAATGTAAGTACCTTCAGGTAATTTAGGTGGCATGTCAGGTTCATTAGCTCTGTCGAGTCGAACGGTCATACGCCTGTCATACAACTGTTGATTATGAAGCATTGAAATGGCTTGTACCGATTCTACCGGATGATCATATTCAACGACTCCAAAACCCCTTGATTTACCATCCTTGTCTTTCCCTAATTCAACATGCAATACTTTTCCAGCTAATTTAAAAACTTCAAGTAGCTTCTTTTCGTCAACTTTATAGTCCAACTAAATAAATAAATAGATTGTGTAATTCTCCGATGATTCATACTTTTTTTAAATATAAGCGTGTTAAACTAACGTTAGCGACGAAGACTCTTGTGACCAAAGGACCATTGATGCCTAAAGATTCTAAAAATTGCGTACTAAGACCGTAAGTGTTTCCAAATTTATTGTCTCCACCTCCGCCACCGCCACCACCGCCACCACCGCCGCCGCCGCCACCTCCGCCACCACCACCTCCGCCACCGCTAGGTGCAGACATATTTTGTCTCCCACCACCTTGCGGTCTTGGAGGATCTCTGAATCTGTCGTCACGATTTCTATCATTGTTACGACCTGTCGCTAAACGGCCATATTTGTCACGTTCTACATCAAAATCCTATAAATTAGATAAAATTTATCAAAGTTACAATAATATTAATATAATCTTTAGTTAAGTTTTATACATTATATTTTTATATTTTTTAACAAAATAAAAAAATTATGAAGAAATTGGATTTTTCTATGATGTATTTGAAAGTATTAAAGTAATACTTTAGTTTAAAAAATATAAATCTTTTATTTAAAATTGTATTGCTGAATATAAATATTGAATTGTTTTATCTGTAGATATATGTATATTTATTTTCATATGAAAAATATAAATTTTCAACACTTCTTGTGAAACTACACATCCTTAAATAAGATCTATTAAAATTATCTAAAATATTGCACGAAAACAGAAAATTTTTACTTACTTCTTTAACAACAAGCTTCCTCCCTTTAATGTCGTATCGATGCATCTTTTCCACTGCTATCTTCACCGAGTCTGAATCTTCAAACTCCACTATCCCGCATCCTCTAGGCTTATCATTCTCATCCGTAAAAAGCTCCACATGCGCTACCTTACCAACCTCGGTTCTGAACAAATCTTTAAGATCTTGCCAACGAAAATCATAAGGAATGTTAGAAACATAAATTCGCCGTTCAGAAGCCTTCCTGCTACGATCATTTCTGTCCCTGCTGCGATCGCGACTGGCCGAGTTTATGCGATTTGGTCTGTCCGACCTTCGATTACGGTCGCGCTCTCTGCTTCTATCTCTGTCGTCATTGTTCTGTGCCTGATTACTGTAATTACATGTGCAAAATAATGTAATACATAGAGAATTAAAATATTATAACAATATATTAATTTCTATTTTTACCAATGTAGATTAATTTTAATCTCAGTAATTCTTAGAACTAGAAAAAGATGAGGAGTTAGTTGTGAATCCAGATTATAATTAAACTATATTAATAAAAACAAAAAAATTAATTGATTAGTTTTTCATTTTTTCTAAGAATTAGAGAAGGATGAAAAGTAAGTTAAACTGAGATTAATCTACATTGATAGAAATGGACATAAAAGAAATAAACTTATTTTCGGTCAAAGTGGATCTTATTTAATACTTTATAAATATTTTAAAATGAATTTCTATACTCAATTTTACAAATCGCACGCTGGAAATCCTTTTCCATTTTGTTCACAATTACGTTTCAAGACTGGAAAGAATTTCGGCGCGCAGTTTGCAGAATTAAATCCATATATAAATTCATACTCTAAAATATTTAAGTACTAAAATCCACTTTGACTGAAATAGGTTATATTTTTAATAAATTTATTCTTGTTAGTGTAATATAAATTGTAATTATAGATGAAGAGTTAGTGGAATCAAAATTAAATTAAACTATATTAGTAAAAATGGGAATAAGGCTTGATTCCATCAATGTGTTTAACTTACTGTTTATCTTTTCTAATTCTCAGAATTAGGAGAAAAATAATGAGTAAATCTAACAAAGATTAAAATTAATCTTACATTGATAGAACTGGACCCAAAAATATAGAGGTAATAGAGAATCTAGCCACAAATGATTTTGTCACAATCTTATGGATTGTTTTCACATTGTGGTTACCTAAAGATTAAAGGTTATCAACAAATTTATCAATAAAATTCATTAATTTTTGGTAACTTTTAAGTCAAGACTATGTGCTGTTTAGCACTCTCAACACTCAACGAGCATTGTTTGTCCTTGTTCAACATTTGATAAACAAGGATGAAATAATTCCATAAGTATTGTGAGCATTAAGTGGAACACAGTCTAGATAATTATACACTGTGAAAACAGGGTTGTAAGGAAGAAAAGTATATATAGTTCTTTCATATACATACTATCTCACTTTAATTTATACTACCTCATAATATTAAGTGTTTTCTATTTATTGACACAAACATCACATTGTACATTGTTATTTACTCTTGAAATTTAATGAATAACAAAGATAGACCTACACTTATGTCACCAAAAGCATTCATTATAGAGTATTAGAGACAGTAAGATAAAGTTAGAATGAGATAGTGTGTGTATATATGTATGCATATGTGTGTGTGTGTGCGTGTGTATATACATAAATGTATATATCTCTCCTTCTTCGTTTTGATAAAATCATTAGTGGCCACAAGATTCAGTTACACGATCTTTAAGTATAAAAACTACATATTATATAGACTTTTATCATCTTACATTATAAACGTAAGGAAAAGGAGATAAATCATACATATGAGAGAGATATCAGAAACAATGGTAGTGTCCCGACGATAAGAGCATATATGAACGAAAGGTTAAGAACTAGGATGAAATTTTCGTTTAGTCACACGCTTGCACAATTGCCACGCTGAAAAATATCGAACGGTATTTATCGAAATATGCTTTTGCTTTCATCATTACAATCATCGCAGAGATCGGAATCACAAGGTCGCATCGCATCGTGTCGCCGAGCGTATCGCGTTGCATGCCACGATGACTCCGCGATAGTCCAATAGTTAAATGGACGGTTAACTATGACCCTCGTGATTAATCCATAGAAAGTCGCATGGGACGTTATACTTACTCTTCTGTCTTTATCATCATAAGAAGCCGGTTCTCGCTCAATTTCGGACACGCAATCTTACGAACAAACCGTTAAATGATATATTGGATATATCCAATCCAAGTGTACACCGAGCGTCATATAAAATGGCCGTCACCGGAAGTGCGAGCACGGAGTATTGCTACACCCGGATTTCACTACGCTTGTCAATGTCGTGAAATATCGTGTTCTTGCAATAGGTGCGTTCGGCAATGTCAGAGAGAAACCTGAGAGAGGATATAACGACCTAAAACCTGTAACCACAAAATACTGCCGCGCACTACTGCCCACTGCAAAAGTGGATGTGAACTACATGCCAGATCCACTATTCTGAGGATAACGCATATACTTTTCAAGACTGATGGTAAGTAGATATTCGCGGTTCGTATAATCGTATTCGCGCTACATAAAATGTGGATCAGAATAAATATTCCTCCCTGCAACTACATATATGTATGCTTACTTCCATGCGCGTGATGTTTATTATTAAGCTTAAAAGTATTAACATTAAAGATATATATTACACCCATTTTTTTTACAAATATGTTAAAATATATCGCGCGTGTTTATATTTTAAATAAGTTATATATACATATATATGATCCCGGCAATTAATTCGCATTTAGAGATTTCAACATTACAGAGCTGCTTTGTGAAGTTGGCACCTTAAATGCGAATATTGGTAAAATCATTATTGCATTCGTTTGT